GGGGGATTGTGGACAGTGAAACACGGAGATCCTCTTCTACTGAGAGCCTTTGCCTCAGCTTATTTTTCATGTATGTCAGAGAGGAGAAAGCCAGTTCACAAAGGTAGGAGGTGGGGAACTGTATCAACACATTGATGGCACTTTCTGAAATAGAGGGATACTCCTGTCTTACACAGAGCCAAAATGTGTCCAATGACAGTTCACTGCGCTTTAACTTCAGCGTCCGGTCTGCTTGCAGCTCTACAAGCTCATCCTGCCCCTTTGTAGTCAAACATTTTGCTGCAGATGTTATGGCAAGATTGTGAAATGGATCTTAAACCCAGTCAAACTCTGCATTTGTTTGTGGGAAATAGTTCTCAAACCTTTCTTCCAGTTTAGTCAGGTGAGCAGACACAGATTGAAAAAAAACTGCAGTCTTGTGTGTGGCATTGCTAGTAGGCAGTGGAAACATATCAAGATTTTTTTAGCCACCCTCTGTTGCCACTGTCCTAATTTTGCCCCGAAGCCATTGATTTTGTCTGTTGCTGTGAGAAGGGTTTCATTTTTACCCTGCATTTTTGCATTTAGCTCATTCATGTGTTCATAAATGTCAGCCAGGTAAGCTAGTTTTAGCCACCACAAGTCATCATTAATCTGCTCTTGAAAAGGAATGTCATGCTCACTAGCAAAAGCCAGTAGTTCTTCTCTTAGTTCATAAACACGCGCCACTGCTTTACCCCTTGATAACCATCGGACCTCACCGTGTAATAAAAGACCCAGATGTTCAGATCCCATTTCACTGCAGAGGGTGCCAAATAGTCATGTCTTTAGCGGGCGAGACTTAATGTAGTTGACAATTTTGACCGCTTGATCCAAAACCTCAGTGAGATCAGGGGGCATCGTTTTTGCAGTAAGACTCTCCCTGTGGAGCATGCAGTTTGTCACTCTTATGATGGCATTTCTCTCTTTTGCTTTCGTCACAAAGCCTTTAACTCGGCCTGTCATGCACACAGCGCCATCAGTACATATACCTGCGCACATCTGCCAGTTAAGGCCATTTTCCATGAAGTAATCATTTGTGACCCTGAATATCTCATCACCCGTGGCATGATTTTTCAGTGCCTTACAAAATAAGAAGTTTTCTGTTATGCGGTCCTCATCGACGTACCTCACGTTAGCGATCAGGTGACAAACGGCACTTTCATCGGTGGAATCATCTATTTGAAGTGAAAATTTTCCGCTCTGTTGTAGTCTGTCACAGAGACTAGCTTCAATGTCAGCGGACATATCATCAATGCGCTGTTTGATGGTGTTGTCAGAGACCGGAATCTTATCAATTTCTTTGGCAGCGTCTGGTCCTAGCATTACTTGAACAATGTTTTTTCATGCCGGTAAAATTAGCGATTCTGCAATGGTGTGCGGCTTTTTTGCTTTAGCATTGATTTCAGCTATCATATAACTAGCCTTCTGTGCTTTCTCTGACAAACGAACATGGGACAGCATATGTTCACTCTGTGTGGCATTTTGTGATTTTAGCCTTTTGAAGAATTCAATGTCTTTATTTTTATAGTCCTGGTGCTTTGTGTCAAAGTGCCTTGACAGTTTACTAGGTGCCATAGTGTTGTTTGCTAGCTTCTCCCTGCAGATTAGGCATACAGGTGTGGGACATGTAGCATCCCCACTCCAGAAGAATCCGTATTTGAGATGACTGTCATTGTAGTGTCTTATCTTTGGCCTCTTTGCTCCCGCTGACTCTTCAGGTGTTGCTTCGGGTGTGTCCAGACATAAAGGATCTGAACTGGTTCGCTTCACAAACTTGTCCATTGTTGTTTTGCCTCCACCGCGGACACTGTCATAGCGACGCTGTCTACAAGTGATGCCGCCACGCCTCCTCAACCGAAATGCATTATTTGATTATAATTATTTTTCTGTCATTTTTTCAAAGTAGTAAAGAAAACATAAAAATGAAGCCCCTCGTCTTAAAATATATTTGCTTACATCAAAATAAATTTACAAAATTGTTGAAATGTAAAAATGTACATTTAATATAAAACTCTCATCAATCTATGAAAAAAATCCTGCGGCACCCCTGTAGTGACCTTGCGGTGCCCCTAGGTGCCGTGGCACCCACTTTGAAAACCCCTGAATTAGGTTGCAACACAAGAACAATATGTGCCTTGTTAAACTGAAATTAATAAATCAAAAGTTTTATTTGTTCAGTTGCAGCCCCCAGTTTTTAAAGGCTTGGTTGTGCTGGGGTGACCTGATATAGAAATCAGAAACTGCTTTTTTCAAACTTACTCTGTTTTTTAGGACAGATTTCTGAATTATTTGGTATTAACTGCGTTAGAGAACAAAGGTGAGATCAAATGGAATCTGTGGGCTGGTTAAAATGTTTATCACTGCTCCGTATGTAAACGTCACCCAGTCAGCAGGTGTTTTTCTTTCACGGCAGGGACCGCGCCTACTCTACAGGGAAGGCGATGTGTGAGCGGCTGAAAGAATCCATCCCGAGGCAGATGTTTGAGATCGCCATACAGGCAGCCATTGGGAGTAAAGTCATAGCAAGAGAAACGTAAGTTGGTTGGAGTGAGGAGTAAGCAGCCACACCTGCTCCAAGTATTCAAACTGATCAGAATAAATCCTGTCTGCTCCTCTTTCAGAATAAAAGCATACAGGAAAAACGTTCTAGCAAAATGTGTAAGTAAAAGAGTTTCAGTTTAGTTATTTGGTAAACGTCCTGCATAAACACACAGGCGCTTTACTTCCTTATTCACTGTGTGCAGTATGGAGGCGACATCACACGGAAGATGAAGCTGCTGAAGAAACAAGCTGAAGGGAAGAAGAAGATGAGGCGCATCGGCAACGTGGAAGTTCCAAAAGATGCTTTTATTAGTGTTCTGAAGAGGAAAGATAAATAAAAAAAAAACTACTGTCTTACATTATTTATGTTTTCTTATTTGGTCTGAAATGTAAAAAAAATATTAGCTTGATATTCTTTAAATAAACTTTGCAACCTCTTTTCTAAATGTATTTATTTTGATAATTGTGGGAATAATCATGTGTTTTATGAGTGAAATGTTGAAACTCCGGACTTGTGTATTATTTGTCATTACCAAGTTAAACTAGGTAAACACATAAGTCAGCGATGATGGTTTTTACCACATGCTTTGTGCATAACAAGTGATACAATTAGGGAAGTAAGCAGCTTAATCGACTTGATCGTTTATTTAAATTAGTTTCATTCGAAAGTAAAATTTCTTTTGGTTTGGTTTCTGCTGTCCAGTAGAGGGCGCCACTGCTCATTCTTTAGTGGAATGCTTACAATTTAACATCAATTTGTAAACTTAAAATAATTAGTTTTAATGAGTTAGTTACTTAGTACTTTTTTTACGCTTACTTGAGTAATTTATTTACTTTAACTTGAGTAAAAATATGATGAAGTAGTGATACTCTTAAGTACAATATTTTGGTCCTGTACCCTCCTCTTCTTAAAGCTGTGAACAATACTGATGGATGTGAAAAGAGATGTCTGGCAGTGACTTAATTGTCCCAGCAGATGGCAGCAAAGGCTCAGACATCAACATACAGTCAGACTCTGCATCGATGTGATGTCATGAGGTCCTCATCCTTAAATAAAACTTAAATAAACTGATTAATCTGTAAATTAACTGAATATAAATTCTTCACTACTGTAGATAAGCAGCTTTTCTCAGTATTTGTACATTAATTTAGTATAAATTTTTATTTTTCTTAGAACTTTATACTTTTATTACATTTAAACGATATCAGTTCTTTCCACTCCTTTCACTTTCACCACATCGGCTCGTTGTTTCTGTATATATTGATTACAAGATGATTTAACAGCTAAATGAAAAGCATAAAGATAATCTGTCCAGTTGGGGCCCATTGATAACATCATGAATAAAGAAAGGAGTTGGAAACACTACAGATGTATCATCAGATTCTGAGACACAAGACATTCCCCATCCATTCCCAATTTGTTCGTTTTTATTTCAATGTAATGAGTATGTTTCTGTTTCAATTATATTTGCACCTTTATAATAATTGAACTTTTATTGATTTCACGTTGGAGAAATTAACTCTTTGCTTTTAACCCATCCCCTTTGGGAGCAGTGGCCTGCCATTGTGGGGGACCCGGGGAGCAGCGTAGGGTTAAAGGTCACTCAGGAACCAAGAGTGGACTGTGGGGATCAAACCAGGTACTTGCAACCTTCTCAGAGCACAAGCACTGCTCTAACCACTAGGCCAAAACTCCCCTATTTTTTTTTTTTTATAATTGAACTTTAATTAATCACAAACAGGTTTGCACAACTACATACAAAGGAACTGGTGGGACTTGAACCCAGGAACCTGAGAGGCAGCATGCTGTGAATACCATATCTAAACGTTTTTACTAAAGATAGTGATCACGGATCTGATAGTTCGATTGGATATCAATTCAATTCAGGTTTTTTATAAAGAGCCAATTCACACAATTAGCTCCGCCCCTGGTTGTCTTGTCTCCTGGTTATTTAATACATATAAGTTATGAAGTGTTATTTCAATAGTTTGTCCTGAGTTATTTCTTTTCAGGAAAAGGAACCGGAGAGATAGAGCTTCAATGTATATAATAGATCTTTATCAGTTGATTTATTTATATTTCAGTCATAACAGCTGAATAAAAAGTCATTGGAAAACAACACAAGACTACAAGACCTCTTAGTTTATATTTTTAATTTTTAGAAACATTTGCTTTTTTTTCATTTGCCTTTCAGGGCAAAAAAAAAACAAAACAAAAAACATTAAAAAAAAAAACATTTTTACTTAAGTAAAGGAGTTTAACTGTACTTTTGCTTTTTCTATTTTTCAAACAGGAGTCTCTGCTTTTACTTTAGTTAATAAGTGTGTAGTTTTTACACCTTTGCAGGGAACCATAAACCGACTAAAAAACCCAATTCTTTTTTTTAAGCGCGTTGGTCTAGTTTGGTTCTCATTGGCTTCCGTAGTTAATAAACGCGGAAGCAGTAATCCAGGGCTTTAACTGGTGTTTTTAATCCAAAATGCACCTGCAGATATGAACTGTACGGTATTGTTCACAGTGACGGAAGTGTTTAGGTGTGACACGCAGTCAGACAGGTATTTCCGGTGATGTGTGGCCGCTCCGGCTCCTCTCTTCCTGTCCTCCTCTCGCTGACTGGTCCATTCAGGGAAGTTTATCGCTCCGCAGACCGCCGACATGAGGGTCCGCTCGTCGGTGTTCGCCTGCTTCATCCTGGTGTGTGAAGTGGTCGGCGTTGCCCTCTTCCTGAGGGGATTTTTCCCGGTTCCGGTGAAGTCTTCCTTCTCCTCCAAGAGCAGGCTGTCAGATTTACCAGCGGAGCCGCTGGCAGGTGAGCCCTCAGCATCACCCCACCTGGCTGTGCCCCTCGCTGTGATCCAGCTCTTCTCACATGTTCTCCCCTCACAGGAAGCCCTCCCAACTCCAGCCGCCTCCCCCAGCCCCTGTTCAGAAGGGTGGTCCTCATGCTGGTGGATGCCCTCCGGGAGGATTTTGTGTTTGGCCCCTCTGGGGGCTATGACATGCCCTACACCAGGTCCCTGGTGGAGAAGGGCTCCTCCCTCAGCTTTGTAGCAAAGGCCAGACCCCCTACAGTCACCATGCCCAGGATCAAGGTGAGACACGATCTCGTGGGTTTTCTGCTGCTTGGTTCGCAGCTTTAACCTCAGAAATAATTTAACCACAGAAATAATTTAACCTCAGAAATAAACATTTGTCAGAGTGGATCCCATTAGTACGGAAGAGGATTAGGGCCACTGAAAAAAGAAAGAAAAAGTTAACTGATTTTAAAATTTTATTTTAGTTTAATATGGAGAAAAAAGTCAGAATTCTGACTTTAATCTCAGAATTCTGACTTTTTTCGCAAAATTCTGAGGAAAAAAGTTCTGACTTTTTTCTCTGAATTATGACTTTTAAAAAAATTAACTGATTTTTAAATTTTATTTAAGTTTAATATGGGAAAACAAGTCAGAATTCAGACTTTAATCTCAGAATTCTGACTTTTTTTTATCACATTAAACTGAAATGAAATTTAAAAATCAGTTAACTTTTTTCATTTTTTCTGTGGCCCTAATCCTCTCCCGTACATTAGGGTATATTCACAATTCAGTTTAAATGCTTTCCGATTCACTTAAGGGCATCAATTTGGGCTGAGACAGTTAAAGTCGTAGGGAAATCATATATAAATGTCAAATTATTCTGGCTTAAACATGTACATAAATGTACTCTTTATCAGACCATATTGTCCAAAATTTAGAAAAAAAAAAAAAAAAAAAAAATATATATATATATATATATACTGTCTCAAAATCTGTTTTTTTTTCTGCTATTTTATGCAGGCCAGTTATTATACGTCAGCCTGAACACCTAAATTCAGCCAACGGTCAACTGTCAATCACATTTTTTCAGTCATACCATCTTGATTCATATGTAGAAGCTAATATACGCAACGGTAGAAATAAGAAATAGGAATCATTTCCTTTCCCATTGAGTTCCGTCCCAGTGTTCACGGGGATGGACGTCTGTGACTTCAGCAGGCGTAGAGCTAACAGAACTGGCAGCGTTGCGAGGCGAGGGCTCAAACATGTACGGCTGGAAGCCTTCTACACCAAACCAAGCTTCTGCCGCCCTGGCGTCCTCTTCCACAACATCTTCTTCCCCGCTTTCCTCCTCTAAATAAAAAATGTATGATGGAGGAGACTCATCCACGACCTCCGACTCAAACTCTCCTCCTCTTGCATGTTTCCTCTGTCCATAGCGTTCCTTGATAGTGTTGTTTCTAAGTCACCAATTTAGTGCTACTTGGTCCCAAAGGAATTTCCCATTGGGAACCTACTAGCATTAAGTTGCTAGCTGGTTAGCAACTTCCGAGAAACTGGCTACAATCAAACTTGCTTGTGAATCTTCAGCCACAACAATCCTGCCCCCTTGATAATCAACAATTCACATTCACTTTATTCATTTGTGTAAAGGGAGAATTCGGAAATAGTTTGAGCCCTTGCCTTGCAACGCGGCAGTTCTGTTAGCTCTATGCCTGCTGAAGACACAGACGTCCATCCCCGTGAACACTGGGACGGAACTCAATGGGAAAGGAAATTATTCTTATTTCAACCGTTGCGTATATTAGCTGCGAATGAAGATGCTATGACCGAAAAAAATTGATTGACAGATGACCTTTGATATATGATTGGCTGAATTTAGGTGTTCAGGCTGACGTATAACTAACTGGCCTGCATAAGATAACGAAGAAAAAACACAGATTTTAAGACAGAATTTCTTTTTTAAATAGAATTTTTCTAAATATTGGGATAATATCATCTGATAAAGAGTACATTTATATACATGTTTAAGCCAGAATGATTTGACATTTAAATATGATTTTGCTATGACTTTAAAAGTTTCTAACCTGCCGATTGCAGATCAGGAGTTTTCTTCTCCCATCTCGATGCAGGTTTAGGGGAAAGAACAGAGAAAACAGGAAAACTGAGCGTATGGTTAAATTTTGATGTTGTGTCAAACTGTTGAGAGCTGTGTGAGTGGAGAGCCAGGAGGGAATAGCAGTCATGTTGGGCTTGTTGTGCTGAAATACAGGCTGCAAACAGTCAGCAGTTATCAGGGGGTGATGATGTTTCTTTGTTTTTTTCTGCTGATGATCATCTTACTTTAGTCTGTGTTCAACAGGCGGTGGGGAGTGGGTGACAGGCATCTGACTAAAGCTGAGGGGGAAAATAGGATATTTTTCTTGTTGGGGGGGAGAAGTAAAATGCAATATTTATGCTTTCTCAGCGGTCGGGTAAAGAATAAGGATGTGCTGACAGCGTCAAGCTGCTTCAGCCCGAGAAGATCGGCGCCACACTTCAGCAGATGATTGCTGCAGACAGAGGACAATGTGGACAGAATTGATCTCAGTGTCTTAAGGAAACGGTTCTAAAGGCGGAAAAAGAGCAGTGGGCATGAAGAGTCAGCAGTTTGCTGCTGATGTTTATTCAGATGCATTAATGATCGATAAAACTAAAATCGATTTTTATGGTTCTTTGTTTTCTTGAAAGGGGAGTTTTTCTTGTTCTGCTGAGTTGACAGTTTGTTGAAGTCTTCTTGTAGCTGAGGCGCTGTGCAGTCAGAGACCTGATGCCTCCGAGTCTTCACAGGCCTGCTGGTTTCCTTATTTTGGGCTCTAATTACAGTCGGTCATCATGACTCTCCATCCAAACCGGTCCAATCCGTCATCAAAGATTTTCTGATACACTTTGCCTCCAAATCTTTCTTTATAAAACTCTGTCTTGCCTTTACAAATATTTCCAAGTTAGATTTATTTTAAAAAACAATAAACAATTATTTGATTTTGGTAATTTATGGCTTTTAAATAAGTTAGAACTGTCTAAAACTTGAACAGATCATTTGGAATCCATCTCATCCTCGCAATAAATTGTTCCTGCTAATCAAACCTTTTTTCTTTTTGCATCCAGATTGTAGAAACGCAACATTTCATCAGAAATTCATCCTCTTTCTACAATATCTTTTCAAAATGACAAACCTTTGTATCTGACTGCATACTGGACGCAGACCCTCTTAACTACATAGAGCCTTTCTGACCACTAAAGGGTCACACTGGGGCCAGTGGTGATGTCACACTGTTTGTTTGAGACAAGTCTGCTGCTAAACTGGATTTAGTTCTGCTTTAAAAGGCAAAACAATTACAAAACTTACTTTACAAGTTGTCCTTAAAAAGCCTGATGATCGTGATTACCATAATTGGTAATTTGGCACAACTAGCACTGTTGGCATTATTGATTATAAATCCCTCTGTAGATCCTAGTAGACTGAGATTTCAAGGACTGCCAACAGAATAAAAGGTCATAGCTGCCACTTTTTCATCAAAACGATCAGTTTGAAAAAACTAGCTCAGGGGTTAGATTCTAGTAGTTTCATAATAGAGCTGAGAAATGGCTTCTATTGAGGTTGAATTGTCTCTATAGAGTGCCTTGAGATGATGTGTTGTGAATTGGCGCTATATAAATAAACTGAATTGAATTGAATTCTTCTTGGAGTTACATTTCTTAGATTGCCTTTGTGAGTTCTCAGTCATCTGGTTGATGGCAACCGTGAATCAGGCTTAAATTGGAGGCATTCTGACTTTCATTAAACTGTAGCTTCGCCTGGAGGATGTAGTTGCATATGGTGATGAGGGGTTATGGTGTCCCAGCTTGTTCCTAACTTTGTGCTAGCCGCTTTAGAGGAAAATCCTGGATAGGTGTCCAAACGTCTTCATAAGCCCCATTTACTCTACCCTCTGACAACGCGTGCAGAGTTCGTACCCAGCTTGGATCAGTTAACCGTACCGAGCTCAGTTGCTTACGACTGTTTACACACCACGCTAGCACGGTTCCTTGCCTCCTAGTGACGATCTGTGGTACTACCGCTCTCTCGAGGTAAACAAACAAATCAACATGGCGGAGCCAGTAACATTCAAGAACTCTTGCTATAATTGTGACATTTAGTTGTTTACGGGGAGTCAGGTGAAGAAGGCAGCCTTTGGTCAATTTACTTGACAGAATCGGCTTTTGGGGAGTGGATACGACAAAAGATAGTCTAATCAGGGCTTACAGACACAGGAAACAACGACAGACGTTGCAGTTTATCACACTGCTAAGCAGAATCATAACTGGAAATCGTGTGGCACGGTAGGGATGCTAGTATTTTTATCTTTTACACTAGAAAAAATCTAAATCTAGATAAGTCATTTTTTCTTAAAATAAGTGCATTTGTTGTTGGATTAAGGATGTAAAAAAAAATGTTGCCAATGGAAAACAACAATTTACATTTAAAATAGGAAAACACAATTGCATTGTCTTATTTCAAGTGTATGTTATCTATTTATCTTATTTTAACAGTAAAAATACTAATTCCATTGGCAAACTATCTCATTTACCTACTCAAATTAAGGGTAAATACACACACTAACAAGCATAGCCGGTTTCAAGTCACCAAAAAGCATCTCAATAAAATCCAGGTCCGGGCTTTGACTAAACCTAGAAGTCCCATGCCTAGTCATCTTTTCCTTGGTGGATATCCTGGTATTTTCTGTGATAATAGACTGATCAGGTCATCCTCACACCATGACACTTCCACCTCCATGCTTATGAAGCTATTTTCCTGAAATGTTGGATCTGGCTTATATCCAACATGTTCACTAATCTGCTAATGAGGTAGATAAGTTAGACTCATCTCTCCAGATAACAAGATCTCAGCATTCCTGGTCTTTTTCTATGTCCTGTTCTATAATAACTGATCGAGGAGATTAGTTCTCCTAGAGAGAACACCTTTATGCATGACCTTGTCTATACAGCTAGAAATGTGTATGTTGGTCGTTACTTTAAATATTCTCCTGACAAACTTTCCTATTCTTGACTATAGAGAGACTATTGTAGGATTAAATATCTTGTTATTGACTGAACTCTGTTTCCAATAGCAGTGAAAGTCCAACCTTTGTTTATGTTATATAAAAATGTTGGCTTTGCTTTGAACTGAAGCATAATTTTATTGCTGGATAACCCGGATCTTGGCTGTGATCGAATGAAGGCTGATTGATGTAGAGAAAGGGGGGGAGGGAGATGGA